AAAGATGGAGGGAAAAGATGGAGGGAAAAGATGGAGGGAAAGATAAAGTAAAAGAGAAAGGGGAGCAAAGGGGAAAGGGTGGCAGAGTGATTGAGAAATGACTCCCAGGAGGAAAAAAGTCTCTCTCTTTTTTTTTTTTTTAATAAAGTTGTCATACTGCTTCGTAATTTGCTTAGGCTTTCGCTGTCGGGCTTACATATTACTTCTAGTACCTAGATATACACCTAATTAGCATCCCAACAATTCTGCTTGTCCCCCAACTGCTTGTGCGTGTAATTTCGTTCAGACCGGTATAGGTTGATGAAGACTTGTAAATCACCGCGGAGTACCTCACTCGGACAGGACAGTCGGTACGACGTGGCCATTGCCGGACCATTGAGCCTTCCAATGGTCTAAGGTTTTGCTTTTGTCTTTGTAGCTCCGAGAAAATGAAATCCAATTGGCTTAATGGCATGGTGGATTGGACCGTCAATTGAGATGACACGATCATCTCTACATGCAAGCAGGTACATGTACTCAGTGCCCCCGGTCCGAACAAACAGAGGCTTCACCGCCGAAGCAGGTTGTGGTATCGCCTTATGACCTGCTTTGCGATCGCCGGTGGCATTGGCCGTCGCCGGCGTTCACGATTCAACGAGTCAGCCCGGCTGTTATCCACACCCCCATGACATACTAATACATACCCAGCCAAACGATGAGACTATGGGCGCTTTTGCTGCTTGCTTTTCTTTTTCGTCCTTGTGCGTCTTAGCATCTCCCTGTGAGCATCGTGGCGTGCAAATCTCTCCGGCCGGGTTTACTCCCAACCCCTGCTAATTCTTCATGCAAGAAAACGGTCGGCCAACAACGCCTTTACCGGAAATGAAACCTGTGCTCTGTAGTGGGACGGTGGATGCGAACCATCCTCTCGTCGGGTGACTTTTGCCTTTCTTTTCATTTCTTTTCTCTTTTTTTTTTCTTTTAGGACAAGCACAATCAAGTCCCCAGCTTACGTAGGATCTTAACCCCGGTCTTACTGTAAAGGGCCATGCCATGCCGAAGCAAAAGTTGAGATTGCCCATCGCGTCAGATGAAATGCCGAGCGGATTTGCTCCGGTCCGTACAGTCCCTGATACGATCGGTACGAGACCTTGGGTCGGCCATAAGGCCTGAGGCACCGAAGCTGCTTCAGCCTTACCGGGGCTTCTCAACATTGCCTTGCCAGGAAGCACCTCTGTGGCGCGCCTTGTTTACGTTCTTCATCATTTTATCTTCTTACACATTCCGAGTCAAGATACACTTACACTCGTGCGGGTGGTTTCGTTTTCGCGTTTATCTGCCAACAACATGACGAAAATCGGAGGATTTCCCTTTCCCTTAACCTCACGCGCGTTTGCCGCGTCAGCGGATTGACCTTAGTGTCCATTGCCTACCTTGTAGGTCCCATCGTGCTTAGAAATGCAATGCAAGCAGTTTCAACGCACGGTGCCAAAGTTCAGTATCAAACTCCTCATGTTACGTTACCGTTGGGATCCATACTTACTTGTGCGTCTTCAGGACAGCTTTTGCAAAACGGAGCCTCGTTAGTTCTCATTGCTCGGTCGCGTGGAACGCGTTTTCGATGAAGTTGGTGCTTAACGGTTACACGCGACAACGACGGTCAAGTCCCCATCATGGTTCCAACGTCCGTGACGAAGCGCATAATCTCCGTCACACTGTGACCAATCCAACATCGGCCGATAGTTGATTGGGGCCAGTTCCACGCTTTGAGCGCCAAATGGCTGGACTGCTGCTGCCACTCTGTAAGCTTATACTGCCTGCGAGACATAGCATTGCCATGTGCGCCCCACGGCGTTTAGGCGTGAACATCCTTTTTCCCGAGCGGATCACCAACTCCATTCGCGATAATCTCGACCTGCCCGAAAGAACACCGAGCGCAGCAGCTCTCTGGGGGGCTGTGGGGTTGAAAAGCCGGGTCTCTTCATTAGCTTCCGCGAAATGCCATGGCATTGACGGCAGCTAACTGCGCTCTAGATGACTCGCAGGAAAGCTTATTCCAACTTCATTTTTGTCGGGGTATGGGGCCTTTTGCAGCGATGAGAATTTCGAAGCGGTGAAGGCGTATTGAGTCCAATGCTGCCATTTATACCTGGAATCTCGTCCTCTTGGAATCCTTATCATGCGCAATGCGATTTTAAGTGCTTGGTACCCGTAAAAGACAGTATCTTTTGATTCGGTAACAATGAGGCTTGTATACTACCCCGTACAGAATCAACCCCCGAGAGCTGGCGGATTACGGTGTGGACGGCCAATTAGGCTCTCAGTGTCCCGGCGTATTAACGGCCATTGAGAGTCGGCCTTTTGCATAATTAAAACCTTCCTTTTACATTCCTTATCTCCAAAAGTCAGCCGATTTGTTTTCGATATATTTATTTACTTCTTCTTTCTTTTTCCCTGTCAATCTTTTCCTACGTGTAGCATCTGATATATTCAATTACTAATATTTTCTGAGTGCGCCTTTTTCTAGATGACGATACAGCCCTTTCTGATAAGTGCTTGGCGTTAAACACCCGACATGCACATATAGGTATGGATGTACTTACTATTACCTGCCTGTGTATCAATATTTGCAGAGTCTTTCGTTTATATATATATAACACCTAAATCAGTAGGCACCTGAGATATTGTGTCAATTATCACTAAATGTAGGTAAGACGCAATCTATAATGGCTAGGTAGTTTAATAAAAGATTAAACCTAGCCCTTAATCTTAGTGATATATATGGCTAAGCGCATGCTTTGTCAAAGGAAAAGAGATGTAGTATCTAGTTTAAATACTGTAAAATTAATTGTAAGCTTATTGAAAAAGAAATGTCTTTGAGAGAATACATGGAAATTATTGGAAAATCCACAAGATCATAACATAGCGATGGAAAGGCAAGTGGGAACTATTACTAAGCACTGTAATTTTAGGTAAACAACAATTACCCATCTAATTATTCTGCAATACTGACAATGACATCCTGTTTGCATCCATGGTCTTTGAGTTCAACCTGGCATAACGCAGTGTGAGCGGCTAGGGTGGTTAAGTGAAACGAGGAAGAGATATAAATGGATCGCACAGTGACTTGGATGATCGCTGCTGCTCAGGTTTCAGTCATCTGGGTCGACAAGTCCAGCCGTAACGAGTATCGAAGGTCTAAAGTAGAGCATGCAATATACAGCAGGCGCTACATTGAGCTGCACTTAGTTTACTGTAGTCAAAGAACTAGTTGCCTCATGTGAACAGATTCGACATGCAACCCAAGTGCTACCTGGTGATTTACGCAGTGGTTACAAGCGCTTGTATTAGTGCGAACGTAGTCTTCTAGGGATATCTACGTCTACACTATGTCTTGGACGAGTATTGGATGATTTAGCAAGCGCAGCTTGATCAAGTAAATGGATACATCGCGGAGTAAGGAACCTATGTAGATTCTGCTAGCAAGACTTCCTGGTATACACTTGGTGCCATTGACATCCGGGCCAGACCAACTTCGATATTGGTAAGTAAGAGAGGCAAAAAAAGGCAAGAAAAAGGCAGAAAAGGGCAGAAAAGGCAGAAAAAGGCAGAAAAAGGCAGAAAAAGGCAGAAAAAGGCAGAAAAAGGCAGAAAAGGGGGGCAACCCAAAAATCCACTTTGCGCGCACTACTCGTACTACGCGGGTGCTACCATGTCCCCTTTATTTCTCTCCTTCTTTTGCCAATCACCAGCATGCCGGCTGGATCCAGGTAGGGGTCATGCCCGTAAATGACCTGTGACGGTGGACAGAATGGGACCGTGACTCTCGTAGTGGACAGCTACCTCCGATATTCACGGTCGTTAACGGTCAAGCCCCAATCCCACAGGACGACTTCATTTCGTAGTCGTATTCGGACTGTGCTATAGATATTACCCCAACGCTTTCCTCGCCATCCACGGGTACCCTGTTGGCCTCACTTAGTACCTCTCCTTTCTACTTGTTTCTATGTCTGACTAGATGGATGTGCGAGGACCTAACCTACTGCTTTCAGACAAGATAGTCCCGAACACCATTAACTAATAGAACGTCGTTCAGATGCGATGAACAAACTCTCCTCTCATCAACCCACGATTTACCGGAACCATCCTGTATCGGGTGCAGATTTCTTGTCTACCACCTCAACGACATCACTCACCGTTCTAGCACGACGTAAACATCCCTGCTTCAAATAACATTACTAGATGGTACACCATAGTACATGCAAGAGCCTTCCCTTCAACTAGGCGCCAAGAGAGCCATGGGCCAAGGTGAGCCCGCTCGGTTAGCATTGGGCCGTCAAGAGGATAAAAAATGAAGTGGTACCAAAGGAAAGGGACGAGGATAAATTCGCGTCCATGGTGATGCCTGCTCTTCGGGCATACGATAGCGGACATGGTCACGCAGTAACGGAGGAAACGGCTTTTACGAGCGGACAACGCACTCGAAGACCGCTAAGGCTAGGCCGGGGCCTGATTGCCTGCAAGTGTGACATTTTATGAGAAATGATACTCGATCCTTGCCACCGAAGATTCCTCTTTGTGGCCGTGATCCGTTTTTGAGCGTGATAGACACATGGCGTGGTAGATCTACAAGCATACGCACGGAATCGAGTAAAATGCTGAGAGTAACGGAATACTTGGAAGATCTCACGACACAACATGGCCTTTTATTCCTAAAATTCTAGAAAACGGGTCGGGACTGTAACGCGGTCTAAATAATAGAAACCAGTTTCATAGCATTACAGCCTTTCGGTCAACAACATCGAGGCTCTTTAAGATCAAACGCTAATCTCGAGATACGTACTACTACGAGTTGAGCCAACTCTTAGAACGAGACTACGGACTTGTCTCTTCAATGCCGGTCCAATGGTATTGATACAATCACACACTGATCACCGATGCCCCTGTACCTGTGGCCTGGTAATATCAATTTGTATGGGTACTATTTCCATCAGCAAGGGTCATTCAATTCATACTACTACTTGGTACGCTCCCAGTCGAGAAAACAGGGCTAATAGCTGCTAGTATGTCCACAAATTACTCGATATAGACACTGCTCCGAGAATTCAAAGCTTATTAGATGCGCTTGTTGGGTCAAGGTAAAGGCAGCTGTGCTCCTGCTGCCTAACGTAGCGCATACGTCCTTCTCCAGGCGTTGTTCTCTGCCTAGTAGGACGGGTCTATCTCCCGAACGGATTTGACGGCTAAGGGCCCGTCCCGTCCGTTCCGGGTATTGACAGTAGTAATTCAAAATCGGTCAATGCGACTAGATGAGAAGATCAAGGCTGGCTTCATCTAGGTTTATTTCATGATGGAATCCACCTGTATGCTAGCGTCTGGTCTGTAAACACTGGCCCTGGGCTGCAAGTTAATACACACTTTGTCGACCAATACTGCCAAAGTCATACGAGGACGAGTGCAGGCTCTGTTTTTATTTTATTTTATTTTTTTGACAACTCTTTTTTTGTCTTTCTATACAGTCACTGCCTCCATGCGAGACCTATGAAATTACCTATCGCTGATGAACGATCTAGGATCCCTTGTCGAGCGGTGGTGGTTACACGGCGCCAAAATATAACCGCCGCCGAGTCAAAGTGCCACCGCTCCTCGCTCATGCCAGCAGTCTTGTGGGCTGTATTGGCTAGGCTTAATTTGGTGTTTACTATCCATTATGATTCGCCTTTTTACGAAGCATGGTGTCCGATTCAAAGCCACTAGTGTGGGACGAGCGTCTTTCCACCGGTTTCAACGGTGTTATCAGCGCTTAATTTAGTAAAGGCCAAGCCTTGTCATCCATATTGAATCTGAAGTTCGCTGCACAGTCTCTGTACGTGCCTATACTTGACCGCTGATCCCGTCAATTTCCGAAGACATTATCAGCTCATGTTGATCTTCACCGCTATAGTGTAATTCCTTGTGCATCCACTATTCAACAGGTGTAATTGAATGCAATTTCAGTCATGCGGTCGGCAATAGAGGCAACGAAAGTGATACGCCGGCTCTCATCTGTCATGCGGAACGGATCGGCAACTAGTATCCCTGGTCGGTATCTTGTGTGGTAGTGGACATGTATTTACGACTGATCACTTTTGTAGATGCCTGTGATGATAAGAGTGCTTGCAATCGACCGTGGAAAGGCGATCTAGAAGAGCGGTAAGCCTCCCATATAACGCACACCCTCCGTACTAGGTAAAAATACACCAAGTACGAGCCGTAAGCTCAGCTCATGCAGCAGCCTCGTGGAGCTATAAGGCGAATATCACATGGCCCGCACGCCGCGTGTCAAGCCCTATCATATCAATTGTATTGTACCGTTGACCTTTCACGAAGACGGAGCTGGGGCCGGGGTTCGATAGCGATGATGATTCAAGGTGAGTGGAGATGTGTGGGAATAGTGCTTCTCACCCTCTCTCTGCCTTTTCCATATTTTTTTGAGCCAGTAGAATTGCAGTAACGGCGCGGAGGAGACTCCGGTCGAAGGGGCAGATTAAACAGGGGCCAATCCTGGAAAGAGATCAAGGACTGGCTTTCTTTGGAGAGTAGTCCCATGAGCGCCTGGGGTAAGATGATCCACGCCATGGAGGGAGTGAATGGTGGTCAAATCTTTTGTTACCGTAGCGAAGGTAACATACGTCCGTCTACCTGAGACGACAAGCGGCCAGGCTGGCTTCATGAAGTAGAAGGATATGGAAATGATAAGTTTCTGTCAGAGGCAAGATGGTTACAGAATAATTTAAGGATCGCACTCCCAGTAATTTTTATAAGATGTTTACAGTAATCAAATAGTCAAACTTCAATTGGTAGTAAGGCGTGCCGGCTTAGGGAGCTGGAAAGCGATGCAATTTCAATGCGTTATGCCAAGTCTCAAAACCATACGTGGCATGGCGGATCCCATCTGGGAGTAAGAATAATGCGTTTTCCTTGGATGCCTTACAAGGGTCTTTCTTAGCCTAACCTCTTTCTGTGAGACCATCGCCAGCAGCTAAAACTGAGAAGCCAAAGAAGCACTCACTTCAAGAAGTGAGAGTAGAACCAAGTGCTTTCAGATTCGATCTATTAAATAGTATGCCACGATTAAGACCGCGTATGCAGATCCCCAGTTCCCGGTGGCCATTCAGGTAATGCTGCTGCACCCCATACAGCCATACCCGCACCTTAGCTTCATGTGCTTTGACATTGGAGTTGACCAATAGCCTTCAAAGGCAACAGCCAGTCTCCAGCGAATTACATGTACCCACATGTAAATACAGGCAGATATCGGTGTGAACAGCCAGACCGAAACACCAGATGATTCGCCGCATTCACCTTCATAGAGGTCACGTCCAGTACATTAGTGCCTCAGCCTCCTGCAGATTTCTCAAGAATAGTCAGAGCATTTCAATCTTCCTGCACCTCTATATTACTGCAGCAGATGACATGGATCGTTAGAGCTCCTTGAGGCGGATTGGCAGAAGTTCTCCTAGCCATTCTCATTTGATCATCCCAAGGTTCGTATGCCAGGTCAGCACCTATAATAAGCCATAAGAGACTTGATCCGACCACAGTGACCTATCCGGTCGACATGTCACGGTCACATGAAGTATAGGCGGTGAGAGGCTTGCAACCCTCTAATTGCAAGAACCGCACATGGAAATGGGCCCTGTGCAGGGCCCTCTCATCCCCAGAAGAAGAAAGAAGAATAGTCCAAGACAAATGTGAGGCGTCGACGGGTAGTCAAGAAGCGGTGGGGAGACCGTTGAGGCGGCATATGCAGGGAGGTATGCATGCATGCATTGTGATTGGCGAGACGTGCCAACTACATAGTAATTAGGATCAAAATAAAAGAGACAAGGCGAAACGAAAGAAAGAGATGTAATATTGTCGATGCATCAATCTGCTGACAGACAATTACCGACAGCTCGTAGCCTTGTCTTTTGACCAATTACGATCAAAGTTTGCTACCACGAGTGACGTATCCTTAGAACATTGTAGGCTTACTACACGCCTAAGCATACACAATCTCCATCACTGCCAACACCCCAGGCCATAATTATTTTCCTCTTTTTGACATCTTCTCTTCGCATATCAGCATGACTGCTTGAGTAGTCATTGCGCGGCTCTCTAAGCCCCAGTTGCCAGGCTGTCCAGACTGATGTGCCAGCATGGAATTCTATCGCTGATAGGCTGCTGTGCTCGAAGATGGGACGACATGTCCGTTATTATATAAAGGGTTGATCCGTAGGAGGTTCGTTCCGAGATGCTTAGTAGCCTGAAGACTCAAAATCTGCATTCGGCAATCGCAGTCATATACCTGGCAATAACTTAGCGACAACCTCGTCAGAATATTAGCAAAGCTAAGCTGTAAGCTTAGCCTCAACGCTTCAAAATGTCAAGCAACGCCTGTTATAGCCATGGACTTCACCGTCGCTTAGTCCACGTCTATAGAGAGTTGACTCGTTTATGTCGGTTCGTAGAGACATCTTGAACCCTATGTTATAGAATATTGACTGACACATTCTAGGTTGCATCAACGGCCTCAGCGGGTTCAATGGCCTCAACGGTCTCAGCGGTCTCAACGGTCACAACGAATTCAACGGATTCAACAGGTTCGAGGGCTTCAACGGCTCCGCCGGCTTCGACGCCACGTTGCTCATGTCGTCAATCGGATGGAAGAAAGATGTGAATGCAGAACACGCATTGAATTGGAGAATTCAGACATTGAAATGAGCAATGCGGACGCCAATTGACTGGTACATCCTGCCTTTGAAGCGCGACAACTCCGTATCACCCACACAATCGGTTGATGGCGGTTAATATGATGGAATCGAGCGGCACTGTTGTTGTCCATTTAGAAGAGCAAAGAGGGATACTTTGGCCTAGGAGGATGAGATGGAGAAGAGGCGAAAAAGGGCGGGAGGATTGAAAAAAAGGGGGCTGGAGAGGGGAGTCTGGTACTGGTTATGTTTCGCTGCGATCGCTGGTGCCGTCACCACTTCCCTAGTATACGTAACTGAGATTCTAGCAATCTACTTTATCCCCTACTACTAGTTTATGTGTATAATTTCGGCTACGTAGACTGGGTGCAACACTCGGGCACTCCTTCACGCAGACACCCAAGATTCTCAGTGTCTCACATATCCAACAGCAGAAGCCTTGCTGCCGCAAAGCTGTATGTATGTAGTTTTAGAACCATAGCTCCAAAAACACGAAAACTAGCTGGATGAATCTTCCTTAACTACCCCGAACGGGTTCTATGCTTGCGTTGGCTTGGTTCACACGCTGACTGAATAGAGATTTGAAGCATGAGATCCATTAGCCAAGGTACATGTACATATTGCCAGAGGCTTGGATACCGAAGCGGCTCTGGGGCATGTTTATCACCGATCCATACATGTACATTACCGCGCGCTAGATTTCAGTGCTACTCTACAAGGACTTGTTGGCTTTCTTGTTGTTCTATTGCTTAGGCACTTACAGCCACACCGAAAATTGAAACACCAAAGTGGGCCTGAGCCATTCTCTACGTCCGTAGGTACCTTTTACTTTACAAGAACCATGCTTTTTGTGTTATTGTTCTCAATTTAGTACTGGTTATACCTTAAACAAGAATATTCGGTACCGATATTTGACACGGAAGGCAGTTGCATATATTTCATACGACTACCGAGCGCAAGCACGTTGCTGACAAGTTTGACAGACCGGCCGGTTATACAATGGCAGGCCAAAACACAATGTCAAAATAAACACGGCATCTTGGATTACTGCGGTTTCGTCGACTGATAAAAGCCAAGGGAGGTTTGACAGCTAGCATGATTTGCCGGCTCTAGAAAATATTGAACCTCTGTGTTTGTCGCAAGGTTTGGTTGACTGTTCTACCTATTCAGCCCTCAGTGGTACTTCGGAACAAACGCTTTCCCTTCTGCGACGCGCCTTGTTCGCGATTTCATCATGCCATCCAAATGTCTGTCACTATATTCCTACAATTTGACATTGAGTCTCTTTATGAGAGCGTTCAACATCCATCCATCGATGCTAAGGTGAAAATCAACGCTGTTGGATAGATTGGAGTATTTGCCTATTGGTACGGATTATCCCCAAGTGCTACTTCGGACGGTGCTGAGCAATGCGACGCGAGAGGCTTCAATGCTGCATAGTGTCAGAGTATATTTTAATCATTGTGTTGCATCCTCATACCTTGCCTGCTCCAATGCTTACTTATTACGTTTTTAGGATAACTTCTGAAAGCCAGTGCCTCCTCTCCTCTCTTTGATCGGTCGAAACATGCTCGTCTCCATCGGAGCACGTCTATTACGACAGCGGCTATGAAGACTTCAATGTCATATGTTGTTTCCGAAGCCAGCTACGAAATGCATAATCTCGGCACAAAAGGCCATTGTGACAGACGCCATGATTCGTCGATTCTTACTAAGAACGTGTCTCACCTCTTGAGCGCCAAATGGTTGTTGTGTGGCTGCTCTGCAAGCTTCTACTGGCCACAAGATGCAGCCGTTGCCGTCCTGAAAGCTTTTTAGGCTAGACTCAGGGTGACAAAGGACATCGACGGCAACACGAAATGTACCGACGATCGTGGAGCATTTGTGGGGGGTTGAGACCGGTCCTCGATATGTACACTACTGTACTACTAACAGCAGTGGACAGATGACGCGCAGCAACTCTAATTTGACTTCGTTGAGTTGGTCAGGGGAGCGAGCTTTTTGCCACGATGCTATGCAACCTCAGAGGCGGTGAAACCGCCAGGGGTTTGCATAAGTATTGTGTTGCTCGCCATATTTGGAAGTCTGCGCCGTGGTGTCCTTGTCATGGACAGCCCGGTGGTATATATGGAATGGAGGTATTTCTTTTCATATTTGGTTCTTGGAGTTGACTGATCAAGTAGAGACTTAATGTGCAAGAGCCGGCGAATTCCGGAGCAGCTTGGCGACAGAGCCGGCTCTCAATGGCCCCAGGCGTATAAAGAGCATTGTAAGTTAACTCGTTCCGTGATTGAAAGTTCAATTTCCTATTTGATTCATCTGATTACATGGGAATTCGCACATACAACTTGGCACAAGTACAAGGGCTGAGTATAATCTTTCATAGAACTAGCGGCCACAGCTTATTGACCCTTTAAAACCTAGGATTATGACATACTCTGCAGAGTAGTCTATTAAATGTGAAATTTCGCGCATACTCCATACTTGCCAGCACACTTGCCGACATAGGGAAATATGTTCTACCGCTGTCCAAAACGACAGCCTTAGCCAAACGAATGCAGAACTTTGCAGCTTTTACTTCGAGCCTTAAGCATCAATACCCCGCCCTTGAGAAGGGTAACAAAAGTCACGATCGGCTTCAATGATAAATTTTCTTCTTGAATTCTCATGATTCTGTTATAAAAATTGTCCCCTTAGCTTTGCTTTTTGTTATTAGTACTATCTTTCTTTACAAAGATGTTGGCATCATGAGCTCAACCCACGCTATCGAGTCAAATATCATTGGAAATGATGCCTGGATTCACCAGGGCAATGTGATCCATAATTACGCCAGTGCCCCTCGTGAATTCTGTGTCCTGATTCCCTTTTTCTACAATGAGGAGCTTATTCATCGTCAAGATATTATTAACGAGCTAGACAGAATCTTGCCGCTATCCGATGAATACTCTACCGCCGCCCTCTATGGGCTTGGCGGCTCAGGGTAAGCCGTTTGGGCGCTATTTTGTATGATAAGTAATGTCCTAAATAGCGACAAACAAGCAAAACTCAGATCGCCCTCGACTATGCTTATCGCCGGTGCTAAGTCTCCTCCTGCTCCGTGTTCTGGGTCTATGCCGACAACGAGATGACATTTACGCAAGATTTCGAGTCGATTGCGAAGAAGCTAGGCCTTCTAAGCAACGTCGTTGGAGAAGATCTTTTAATAGCTGTACGTTATGGTATTGAGTCGAACCCTCCTTGGGTGCTGATTCTAGATACTGCGGACAACCTAAGGCTCTTTGGTGTCGACTATACTGGATAAGACGCTCCGAATCTTGGAGCATATATGTTAAACCTAGATAAATTTATCCCACGTGGTCTAAAGGGCCAAGCCCTCTGGACGAGCTGCGACAAGCGCATCGCCGGAGGCCTTGTTGCAGTTCGACGGGTAATCAACATTCCAAAGATGACTCCTAATGAGGCGAAGGAGCTGTTCGACAGTGTTAGAAATAATCGAGTGGGCAACGACGAGGGAAGATATGTTGTAGCACTTCTCGACGAACTTAAGTGGCTACTACTCGCTATATCGCAAGCTACAGTATATATAAGGAGGACCTTGATAATCGTTGAGGAGTACGTCTCGAAATTGAAAGATGGCAAAAAAAGATAGAGGATTCTAAAGTAATTACAAAGCGACCGTTATTAACAATAAAAGGTGTCGAACAGCATTTTAGAGACCTGGGATATTTTAATGGAATATCTTTAGGCTGAGAATAAGATGGTATATCAGATTTTACATATTCACGCCTATCTAGATAACCAGAACATCCCTATTGAGTTGGTTAAGCAAGCAGCTCACTACAGCAATAATAGTAATGGTATAGATCATAGTTTCGAAACACGCAATGATAACTCCTCGTCAGTCTCTGATAGCGAGGATGATAAAGTTACTGAAGCTATCGCCCGTCTTTGCGACTTCTCATTTTTAAGCATACAGGTTGCTTAAGATGGAAACCGCGCGTACAAGATGCATAAACTTGTTCAGGAAGCAATGCGGTGGGGGTTGAGCAGAAAAGAACGGAAGAGTGAAGCAAATTATTTCTCAGCTGCAGCGCTTGGAATTACTTACGATCTTTTCCCGAGATCCCCATACGAAGAACGGGAGGCCTGGAACCAATGCGAGAAGTACATCACTCACACACAGCAGGCGTGTGAGTGGGCTGCACTCTGTGGAGGAGATGAAAAAGCCGTAGAGTTATTGTCAAGGTTGGCCCATTATTTGAGCTGGCGTAACAGATGGAGGGAGTCCGAGATTATGGCACAAAGAGCATACGAATTAAACAAGATGATACGAGGCGACAGGCATCTTGATACAATTGTTAGCATGGAAAGGCTTGCAAATACATACTCACAGCTTGGGAGGCTCAAAGAGGCAGAGGTAATGCAAATCGAGATACACAGGCAGCGACGGGAGATTCTTGGTGACATAAATCCTTACACAATCATGAGCGAGGTGGAGCTCGCACTAACATAGCATAGATTCGGGAGGTATAAACGGGCAGAGGAAATAATGGTGAGAGCACTGGCACTACTACAGGGGATCATTGGCACCACTCATCACATCACAGTGAGAACTATGGCAAATCTTGTAGTAACATATCACGCACTTGGGAAGATTAAAGAGGCAGAAGAGATGATCATGGAAGTACTGACGCTGCAGCAAAACATTCTTGGTCATAAGCACCTTTTTACGATTACTACCATGGCCAATATTTCAGCAATACACCAGTCGTTTGGCAGGTATCAAGAAGCAGAGACATTGGGGGTAGAAGTACTGGCACTACGGCGGGAGATGCTTGGTGATCAGGATCCTGATACCATCAAGGCTATGGCGCGTCTCGGGAAAACGTATCGTGCAGCTGGCAAATACAAAGAGGCAGAGGAAATACTGGTAAAAGCATTGGCGCTTCGACGGGAAGTTCTTGGTGACGAACATCCTGATACGATGAAGATCATTAAACGACTCGCATATACACGCCGTCAATTGGAGCGGCTGAGTATTGAAGAAAACTAGCTTAGGTTTGAAGATAGAGTCAAATCAAGTCCGACATTCTTGCATTCTCGGGTTCTTGATGTTCTGAAGTTACGATAGTTACTTGGAATCAGGACAGAGCCTTTTGAATCAGTGATTACGTAGCCATATATCATCAAGCGAAAGTTCTATATTATTAACGATCTGCAGTATCCTGACTCTACCATATTACGAAATAGAGACCTTATAACGATCTTATAACATTGTATCAATGCTTGAATCATACTCTCAACATAGTTTCTCTATCAAATTTGCTTCTTCACCAAATGAACCTATTAATTCTTTCATTCAACTGCTTGCTCTTCTTTCACGAGTAAATGAAAGAGAGAAATCCTCATAAACATCAGAATATCCCATAATCTTCTTACAGCGCCAATCGTTCTATTTGCCTCAAATTTAAATGGTAGTAGTTGTAATCCGAAGCACTTTTCCAACATGTTGTTTCCCAACATATCTGTTAATCACACGCATACACATAGCAGACAAAAAAGTGTCAAACAAACGCTAATCTTGAAAAAAATACTCCGGCATTCTCATGAATCACAGTTTAGGATGTTCGTAAAACTATATCATCAGTCCATAAGACCTGGCTGTTCGAGTTGATCCAATCCGCATACTCTATCCCAAACACCGTCGTTGAGATATCTTATTAAGTGTTCAAAGCCGATTGCGTCGTGAGCCGAAAAAGTAGTCCCAATATTGTCTGTATGTTCAATCGGCTCGGGTACGGACTTGATAACATGATGCATGAGTGTATTCGATGGTGTGATAGCCGTAGATCGATTGTCTAAATTAGACGACCGAATACAAGCTGATAACATCTCGACGATCTCCGCGTATTCATCGTCATATTGTGATGGAGTGGGTGGTTCCTCAGTTAACAGACTGCTTGACGGTGTATTCGCTGACGAAGTGACAAAAACGTCGTTATCGGTAGTAACATGTGATTCGATGGGACCATTCTCTCCAGGACCAGTAAAACTGAAGTCATAATTGTCCCAAACTTCATCCAGCTCAGGCATGTATTCTACTCTTCGATTAGAGAATACTCGATCCTGCAAATGGTCTAGCCTTCGCCTCTTCACCCTGTGGGTATCATCTGTTGTCAGTGGTCTTAAAGCCTTTTCATAAATGCGACTGAGGATTTTGTAAGAGTGTTTTGGTATCGGCGCGTGGTGCTCCAGGGTTCTCATCACGCCAAGCGACCCATCAACTGCCTTCAATGCCAATTCGCGCATTGGCATGCTCGAATCTATATCATGTATCATTGCAGAGCATAAGAGCACAGATACGTCGAAAATGAAGAATAAAATAGTGTGATAAGTTGCATCTCCGGGGAAAGCAAACCGTAGAAACTGGAATAGTCTGTTTAAGTGTCTGAGAGCCCATAATGTGCCATCGCTTTGCAGTTGCAGATACTCGGCTAGAGATCCCGTCGACAGCGGTATAATAAGGAAATACCGTAAAGGAGATAGCAACGACAAAGTTGCCATCATAGTAAGACTGAATCGCTGGAATCTTAACCATGGATAATCTTCATCCAGACTTGTGTCGGGGTTTCGTAGAGAAAAGTGAGGCGGCAATCGCGCGGCCCAGCTTTCCACAATGTTACTATATTTTCCAACATCTTCCATTTCTTCCAGAAGCCCAAGCCTTCCGAACGACTGTAATAATGCGCTCCCGAGTTCGGATTGAAGCGACATGAACAAGCCGGGAGAGGGGTAAGGCTCTTTTAGCTCTTCGTCCAGTAGGATTCCAGGTGGTTTAGCATAGTAAAGATTGGACTGCAGAATGAGAGGGTGGGAGGTCATGTTTCCAAGCTGCCTAGATGTTCGTAGAGTTAGAATATGCGTCCACGTATCAGAGTTCAGCAGACCAACTAACCAGTCCCATGCGCACATGATTACCCAAGCTCGACTCCCCATTTCCATATTATAGTCGAAAAGCGGACTTGTAGTTTCTTCATGGCTGATATCTAGATGAGAATTAGAATGCTAAGAACAGCATCCGGAGAGACCAGCTTACTCAGTTTGCTGGCAATCTGGACGGCAGCTGCCAAATCACGCCGGCATTCAGAATATCGAGCCTTCGCCTTGAAGAAGAGGGATGAATGTAGATAGGCCTGAATGGCGTGTATATCATATCTTCCCATTGGAATCCTCGTTGCAAGCTTACGGCCTGTCTCGTGATACTTTTCGGATAATTGATGAATTGGTTGACTCTGCTCCGCCTTAAAAGCTCGATGAAGTGCGTCGCTGGGATACTGAGCTGAACACGCACAAACCATTAGGAGGAGAGCAGTCCACTGAAGCTCAACGTGATTATCAGTGTAAGCATGGCTGCACCAATGTTGGTACTCTCGTCTAAACATTACGGGATGAACAATGTAGTAGCGAAAGTTGACAAAGTCTAGAAAGTTATCCACTAGGGAGTCTATATTGAGTCAGAATTTGGCAATAAGACGAAATGGCTGTTTACATTTGACACAAAAGAATAGAGGGAGGAAGGGGAGTGAGAAGAAACAAAGACTCACCAACGCATGATCTGGACGGGAGAACCTGAATGGCTTTTTGCAAATGAGGAGAGCGGCCAGGCTTTACGGAATCTGGCATTGTACGCCGTCTCTCCTGAGCTGCGGTGTTAGCGGTGGCGAGGTACTGTAAACATGAGGATTATTAATGATGCCTCACATCTGAAGGTACCTTGCGAGGGCCGCTGTAACTCGACGCAGCGTGGGAAGCAGAGTAGCCCAATTCCTCGAGATCAATATCACTGCCGTCACTATCGCCATCCACTGGATCGAGTAACTCATGAGAATAGCAACACAATCCCTCTATTTGCGCCACCAACTGTTTGAGCTGAGTCCGGCGCTCCTCGGGGGATTTTATATCGAGAACCGTCTGAAAGACACAGTTGGTAGAGAAACCCCTATTGCCACAGTGAAGACATGGCCAATACCGAGTACACTATGGGATATATTTATGTTAGACAAATGTGCCACTGAGGGATGCTGGAGATGTGAGATTTGTAGGAGAAAGAAATGGATGTTGGGGTACATATGATGTGCGAGGGCGAAATTACATACACTTCTGCCCGCATCTCTTCATTGAGGCAAGCATAAATGTATGTGAAGAATAATGGATCAGCGTCATAAGAGTGATTATAGAATGTACCGCAAGTAAACCCAGAATACAACAATGTTGCATGTGTATGAGAAGATTGGAGAGGCTATTGAAGTGTTTTGAGGCATACCTTTTGTTTCCGGCGTCTACACTCGGAGCAAGCCGAGCGGGTGATGGTTTGAGCCTCTTGGCTCTGTTGTGCTATCAAAGCCTTCTGCGCCCTAATGCAGGGATGTTCTCCATAGTCTACATTCGGATTCGCCATGGCGACATTGTAAGAAGAAGAGACTGGTGAAGATTTTCCGATTAAGGCGGGGGGG